GGGCAAAGACGCCTGGAAGAAGATTGTAGTGTGTGTTGTAAGCGATGGGCGCGCTAAAATTAATCCGCGAACGAAGGCTATCTTGTCCGGTATGGGTGTTTATCAGGAAGGTATCGCAAAGCAACAAGTCAACAATAAAGATGTGACGGCGCATATCTACGAGTACAGCACGCATACCCATTTGCAGCTCAAGAACGGGGTGGTTTCTCTTGTCCACAACCGACAGCCCGTGCAAATGCTCTTCTGTCTCAAGGAAAAGAACCAGAAGAAGATCAACTCACATCGTTGGTTCTTCCAGGCATTTGGCCGCGTCCTGGATCCCAACATTTGCGTCCTCATCGATGCTGGTACACGTCCTGGAGGCAATTCTATCTACCATCTGTGGAAGGCTTTTGACTTGGAGCCCATGTGCGGTGGTGCTTGCGGCGAGATTAAGGCCATGTTGGGCACGGGCGGCAAAAACCTCATCAATCCGCTTGTTGCCACGCAAAATTTCGAGTACAAGATGAGCAACATTCTCGACAAGCCTCTCGAATCTGCCTTTGGGTTCATTTCCGTGTTGCCGGGTGCCTTTTCAGCGTACCGGTACCTTGCCCTGCAAAACGATAAGAACGGACAGGGGCCACTGGAAAAATACTTCTTGGGTGAGACACTGCATGGTGGGAGCAGTGCCGGACTCTTTGAATCAAACATGTACCTGGCCGAGGATCGAATTCTTTGCTTTGAACTCGTGACCAAGCGAAATTGCCATTGGATTCTTCAATATGTCAAATCGGCCACGGGAGAGACCGATGTACCGGATACAGTAACGGAACTAGTTCTTCAACGTCGTCGATGGCTAAATGGATCCTTCTTCGCAGCCATTTATGCTATTGCTCATTTCTATGAATTCTTCCGATCGGATCACTCTTTTTTCCGCAAACTGGCCTTCTTTGTCGAGTTTGTCTTCAACACAATTAATATGGTCTTTGCTTGGTTTGCTATCGGCAACTTCTTCTTAGTTTTCAAGATTCTTACTACGAGCCTTGGCTCCGACGACTTGTTGGGCAGAACCGGAGAGATTCTTGGCGTTGTTTTTACTTGGCTTTATGGTGTATTCTTGATGACATGCTTCGTTCTCTCCATGGGTAATAGGCCAGCTGGTTCCGGGAGATTGTACACGGCAATGGTGTGGTTTTGGGCCATCATAATGATGTAAGAGTTGTCTCGAAAGCTCCAACGCCTCTCTTTACTAACAACGACAGATACTTGATGTTTGCTGCCATCTTCATTGCGGTCAAGGCTATTATAAAAGACGTCAACAGCGGCACAGCCTTTAGCATCAGCCAGCTGTTCAAGAATCCGGTCTTCTACACGCTCATCATATCCGTCATGTCCACGTTTGGTATTTGGCTCATTGCGTCGATTATCATGTTCGATCCGTGGCACATGGTTACTTCGTTCATTCAGTACATGTTGCTTACTCCCACCTACACCAACGTCCTGAACGTCTATGCCTTTTGCAATACTCACGATGTTTCATGGGGCACGAAAGGCGATGACAAGGTGGAAAAATTGCCCTCCGTCAACACCAAAGACGGCCAGGGTAAGACGGATCTACCTGATGAGGGTGATTTGAACGCTCAATACCAGCGAGAGGTTGAAAAATTCAGCACCAAGTTCAAGGAAGTCAAGACGCCGCCGACCGCCTCCCAGCTGCAGGAAAAGCAAATGGATTACTACCGAGGTGTACGAACAGGTGTGGTGCTGATTTGGATGATCACCAACTTTGCTTTGGCTGCGTTGGTTCTCAGCTCGGCTGGATTGGAGAGGATCACGCCTGGGGGTGGAGACCAACAGCAAGAAGCAACAAATCGGTCCAATATTTACATGACGATTGTGTTGTGGAGCGTGGCGGTGCTCAGCGGATTCAAATTTCTGGGAGCCATGTGGTTCTTGGTTGTTCGAATGTTCAGAGGAGTTTAGAGTGCAGTATGGCTGTGCGGTTTCAGGCAAAGCTGCACGCGAGGTCATGGCAGCGGCGATGATTTCTTTAATTATGTAACTACACTTCAGTTCTGGATTATACCCACATTGGAATGAAGGCAGCGACCCCGGTGGACGGTGCTGAAATAATGTTCGAAATGCACCACGGATAAAGGGGGATATTTGCATTCGAACATATTTTGATCTAAACATGAACACGGAGTTTGATTATCACTTTTGTATACAATGCAACCAAAGATACAAGTCAAAGTGCGCTGCAATATTACAGTGAACAACCTTGGTCTGTGGGTTGCTTCCATTCTCCTGTGGCAACTTGTGCGGACCTTGTTGAATGAATTGACATTACTCGTCTACCGACCTGTTCAATCCACTGCGCGCGCCATTCAAGCGGCTGTAGTCATGTATTTGTTCTGAGTCAACCTACAAGCTCGGGCATATGGCATTGCACCTTGTAATCTTGTCATCTAGGCTGCTCTTGATTGCTGAGCTCTGCGACACATGTACCCACCCATGTCCATTCAGATTGGCGGTTTCCTCATTTGAAGAGCGCTGAACACTAGACTTGGTCTTGTCGTTGATATCCATCACATGCGCGAATAATCCTAGCAACCAGCTTGTAGCCTTGATTGGGAGTGTTGCTGGGCAGTAAAACGAAAAAAAAATCAGATTGCGCTTTTCGACGCTTGGACGGAGACCAGCGTGCTTCCAACCCCTTCTTCCAGGTCTAGTTTATTTATTTGGACAGCTTTTTAGCCACTGTCCGCGTTTTGCGGGTGTTTGCTCCAGAACACTGTTTAGGTACTATCGCGACATGATGTGTAGGCTCAACATGAGTCTGTAGGCTACAACTCACGGAAAAGATTCAGGTACGTGGGACAAAGCGGTGCTGCTCATGGCCGTGGCCGTAGTTTCGTCGAGTACGTCCCGAATATATGCATCGTTTCGCATGATGTAGTCTGTACCCTCCCGCGGATCGGTCGCTAGCGCATGTACACTTTAGTGTTGAGCTGTCGGGAATTTCCTGCCAGTCTGACGACATGTCTGGTGTGGAGGGCACGACGCCCGATGCAAGGTCGGGCGAACGCACACAATCCTAGAGTGTCAAGTTCAAACATACAATATCCAGGATGCTGCAGGAGCATACTGATTATTTCCTACGAGGCAGACCAGTCTCTCGGCCGCAGGGCGTACATTCGCACAGGAAGTAGTCTTTGGGGCGGACGCTCCGGCAGCCCTCTCTGAAGCTCGGTCCTGACAACCACCAAGCCCGCCTCCTCAAAGATTCTGCAAAAGCTGCTATCCAACCTGGCAGTGTGTTAGGAGCATAAAAAAGCGCCAGTTCATGCATGCCTCCCCGGGGCGCGACGTACCTCGTGACGCTGCTGTCGGTGCTGTCGAAAACGTCTGTCGCGCTCGTGCTCAGGTTCTCCTTGACGACAATCAGGCCGGTGGCGGGCTTCAAGACGGTCTTGCAGAGCGCGAGAAACCGCACCAGCTGCTCGTCTGTCAGGTGGCCCAGGCACCACTGCGCCCAGACGAGGTCGTACTCTTGGCCCGCGACGGGGTGCCACTCCTCGAGGCCGACGTTGGAGATGGCGCGCACGCCGGGCTTGCCCTGCAGCGCGGCGGTGAACTTGGCAATGGGCTCGACGACGTCGACGTGCTCGGAGACGCGGAGGAGCAGGCCCTCTGTCACTCTGCCGATCCTGTTTGCAGTGTGAGTCCGGGGCGCGGGCGGCCGGCGGGCTTTGGGTCGCGACTCACCCTGCTCCGCCCTCGAGCGTGCTGGTGAGCGTGCGGCGGTCGTGCTTTGTGCCGATGCCGAATCTTGCCAGGAAGGTTCGCGATCCTTGGAGGTCGATGCGGCTGATGGAGGAGAAGCCGCCGTGCGCGGGGATGCCCCCGAGCATTCCGTTGACGTTTACCTGCGCGCGTTGCCAGTATTCCCTTCCATTGGAGGTGTTGATGCGCCCGTCGGGGGCTGTAGGATCTTCTTTTGGTTCGGACATTGAGGGCAGGGATTGGTCAAGACTTGGGATTGTTGGTGGTGCTGGGGAGAATTGTTTTACACATTTTGACGGGCGTGGGTATTAGTCAGCAAACCGTGGAGTTGTCCAAACTATGATAAGTAGCCAGTCTGGTGCCTTTTTTAATGCAGAAATTACAAGTTGTAATCCGTGAGGCAAGGATTAGATGCACCTTTCTTTATTGCCTAGTATATCGCGTTACTATTACTTTGATGTTTCTTCATTTTTTTTTTTAACAATTATGCTTGTTCCCTAGTAGACGTACTAGTACTCCGTACGCTAGGTGACGAATAATGCTTACCTTGAGCTATGGTGGGGACATCTAACTTTCTAAAGTCACAATAACACATGAGTGGTACCAGACATGAGTATGCCATCGAACGCGAGCTGGGCCGACAAGTTTACAAAAGTGTTTTGGTGGTTGGTCAGCGGCAATTTTCCCGAGGGTACTGTATCGTGATTACCTAGGTAGTTATCGCATGTGTCTGACGCACAAGTTTGTCGTCTATTGATGTCACTACTCGGGAGCAAAGACGTCAACTATTTGCAAAGCGCCATGGCGGCACTAGTTGCAGGAAAAGCAAAATCAGGGGAACCGGGTAGGAATGCATGCATTAGCGACAAATTATGTCACCGCAAGTCATTAGAAGATAGTATTGACGGACAAGTTCCCGCCGGCCAACGAACGCATCCTCCTAATTTTAGAGGCCCGTAGGCCATCTTGACCAATCGACGCCATCAATGATGCCGCCAGCCAGCGGGAGATGGGTGACATGGCAGTTGCGCAGTTGCCACCGCCAACATTGAAATGACGTCGAGGCTTCGGCTGCCCGTGGCCGCCCGCAATCCATGCAACAGTCCGGTACGAAACAGGCTGGCTTATCTATATAAAGACATGACATGGTCATTCCATATGTCGCCGGCTCAGACTCTCAATGCTGCCATCGTCATCCATGCAACAACACATATTCTACATGATCCGATATCATGAACACATCAAAAGACATATACTACTTCATTCCTGACCTCTGCGCCATCGACCCTTTGGCACCCGAAGTCGACCCTGACACGCATACGTGGGTGCGCGCCATCCAAATTGACGACACGGACTTGATGTTTGAGGGTAAGTCGCTAAGCTCGTGGTTCGAAGACGACCGCAGTCATCGCAGTCATCGCAGCAGACGCAGCAGTAGCAGCAGCAGCCACAGCAGCGACAACGACAACCAACAGGAATAGGCGCGGGGGTCGTGGGTACAGGACAATGGTCTTCACGTATATAATATTGGAGCTTCATAGTCGGCTAGTAATAGCACTTGAGTGCAAATTAACTACTAAATAGGCCCAAGTTTGCCCCTTTTGTCTGCTACTAATCTCAGAGTAGCACACCAGGATAGACACTGCCTCTGCCAGACAAGTTAGGACTGTAGTTTGTGCACATGCTGCTAAAAAATCGTCTGGATGCCCGGTCATTTTCGCCCGCTCAGATTGTCCAGCCAGAGCGCCCGTAGGAACCCGCGAGGATTGCCAGCAAGCGGACACGTCCACGGACCTGCTTCTCCGGCCTTGACGGATATCCGGTTTGATTCACAACACTTTTCGCCCCAGGAACAGGGTAATGCAATTGAATTATGCCATCAATTGCATGACATCATCAGAACAGGCGCCCGGTACTGAATGTCCCCGGGGTGGCCGCGCCAGCGGAGGCAAACTTGCTTTTCGGCCTTGACTCCGGATCTACCCACCAATAGGATGGGCGTCCCTGCAGAGCTATCCGGCTCCGTCTGCGGTACATGGATGAACGGCCGGAGAGCGTCATACCCTTCGGACTATAGTGTCCGATCCCATGTGGATGGAATCAGACGTCAACGGCTCCCCTAAGGGACCTACTATCGGCTCAACCTATTCATAATGCAACCCCCCCTAATGTTGTAACTATAGTGGCCCAGACAGAAAGACACTTCCCTCACCTGTCAATATCGCCGGCCCGGCATCTTTCTTACCCAGAAATAGTCCATTGACCCTTGATTATGTATGACATGTTAATCACGGCGGTTTCAGAAGGCGGCTCCGCTGGAGGGAGCAAAATGACACTGGACCCTAGCCTGTTGAATCCCAAAGATATTGCGCTCTTTCAGCCCGCTCCGGCGTGGTCGTTTGATCACGAGGCTGGACCACACTGGGCACAATTTGATACTTCACCACTGATGCTAGTCAAGGACACGCCGCAGGTGGCAGCTCTTTTAGACCAGCCGAGCAAAACAGGCGCGGGTCACTGTGCTGGTACTTTGCCAGGCTACGGGAGCGAAACCAAGTCGTCAAGTCTACACAGCCAAGATCAACTACAAAAGCGAAACGATACATCATCAAAACCCACAAGGTCAAGGCAGGCCTGGCCCCGGAAAGAAACCGCCAGCGCGTCCAAGAGACAAAGAAGAGCAAAGCGAGCGGAAACAAAGAGCGGTAATGCGAACCGGGATAATGAGGCAACTGCTCACCGCGAAGGTTCGCTAGAGCGCAACCGCATCGCCGCTTGTAACTGTCGAAAGCGCAAGAAGAAGTGGGTGAATGATTTAAAAAAGAGAAACTCTTGGCTGGAGAAGCGCCATAAAGATCTGGGGATAGAGTATTTCCACCTCCTACAGGAAATATCTAAACTAAAGACCCTTATTATAAGCCATGCTAGTTGCCATGATGCTAATATCGACACTTGGCTGAACAATGAGGCTTCAAAGTATGTGTGCAAGTTGGGGGGGGACGACACCAAGCGAGTATGTGGTCTGAAGCCTGCGCCGAGTCTAGATGGTAAGTCGTTCAAAGCCGAGCAGAGGAGTTATTGAGTATCTGATGGCTATGCATTTTACTAACAGAACTTCTCGCTAGCGACGTCTATGTTAAAGGTGTCGTGGGAAAGTAGTCAATACATCGAGCCGTCAAACAGCTCTCTCCAAGTTGATAGTGAAGATTCAAATACTACTTTCGACTCGGATACTCCGCCTGAAGGCGATTTCGACGACCATGTAGCCCCATCTTGGATGTGCTAGGCACAGCACACCCATAGACTTACAAAGGAAACTCTAAAAAAATACAAAAAGGAAAAGGGGGGTAAGTGTTTGCATGTTCTCGTCATGATGAAGGTATTTGCCGCCATTTTATACGGGCCACTTGCTAACATTGGGTGGTTCAGATGCTATTGGCCTGCAGTATTTTCGGGTGCCTGCGGAGGAAGGTTGCTGTAATCAAAACGGGTTCAAGTATTGATATGAACCTGTGCAAGCTTTTGAATGATGGTTTGAACGAGATGATGTATTAGTGACCTATGTGAGGAGACGGCCCTATTTTAGGACTTGGATAGCATGAGCTGGAGGTTAGGGCTTCCCTTTAGAACCTCTTACTCTCCTTTTGAATAATCTTTATTTAGATTATATCTAATATCACTCTCATACTCTCTCTGTAGAGTCTAGGCTAAATAGTAGGCTTGGTGTGGACTATCTAGGTATATGAATAGATAGAGCCAGCATCTAGCAGCTTGCTTTACCTGGACCGGCATATGTCTCTAGGTGTTCGCCTTTACATCCTTCATAGAATAGCAAAACGATAAGCCTGGCAGAAGCGTTAAATGCTCACAAACGTTGGACTAATAGCCCAATAGGCACTTTTAGTATTCCGTATCTCTGAAACTATGCCGAAATGTAGGGATGCCTTTCTGGCGTATCCTCTACTTAGTCCTACAGAGGAAGAATAAATCTTTCTTTTGTTTCTTTTCCTTTTACTTCCTATCTATTTCTGTGGCGTAAGGGGTATAAAAATATGACATCATTGTTACCCATACCACTCGAGGGCCTTACCACCGACGGTGGAAAAACCACGCTGCTTGATTTCTTATATCTAGATGCAGACGATACCGTTCCCAGTTTGGAATATGAAAATTATACCCACCTTGAATGCCACTAAAAAATGTGCTCTAATTGAGCAGCAACTATCCCCCCTTTATTTTCGTTGGCATCAAGCCTTGAAACACGGGAACGTGCATTGTCCCGCCATGACTTCACCTTGTGAAATACCGGACTTGCAACACGACAGCGAGCGAAGCGCCGCTGCACCTCCCAAGCAGGCCTCGCTTTTGCCACTTTTAGGTACTAAAGAAAAGTCTACAAGTAGGTTGCTTACAACTAGTTAGATAACTCCAGCCGCTAAACATCTTTTCAGAGAAACCAACTGTGGGAAATGCTCAACCAATAGCCGGGGAGTCGCTCCGTCGAGGTGACTTGGCTGCAACTTAAGGAGGAGCTCCATACCTCGTTAATTTACATAGTAGAAAATTACTCAGAAAGGTGTATGTAGTTGATTATAATTTATAAGCATTACTAGCCTTTCAATCTTTTGATATATATATGGTTTTATGACATTGAGTAATTCCGTCAAGTCCACTTGTTCGAAACGTAGTGGTGGTGGTCGGATCTGACAATTTGGGCCTCAAATGACCAGTTGACATTGCGAAGACCTTAGGACAGTGTACCTTCCTCTGTGTCACACGGATTCGATGTTTACGATAGGTACACAAGGGCCTGAAGATTTAGTTGAAGCCCTAGGCTGCAAGCCTCGCCGCTGTTTTGAATAAATAAGACTTCTCTGTCCCCAAGGGCTCCCAGAAAACCAAGGATTTTTGATATCAAAGAGGACTATTATAGTTGAGTTGAGCTGCTACTATAAGCCCTCGTATTAAAGTCTTAAAGGATCTTGTCACACTCTGTAAAGTTGTTCTTGACGTGAAAAATTTATGAATGCTAATACGGCCGTTCCGAACGTGGGTTAAGAGCGACTTATGAACAGGGTAGAGAAACTCATCCGCCCCGGAAATGCCGTGCTCGTGATTCTGTGAGCTCACAAGGTCCACGGTTGACCATACCTTGGGAACGTCCATCGACAGTATCACAATGGACAGCTGCGGATTGCATTGGATGTGGACTTGGTTATTGATTGAACCTATCTAGCTAAGAAATTGAGTCTCCTTTGTAGCTGAACATTGTAGATCACCCTCTCAATTGATCAAAAGAAGACAGATGTGTTGTTGGATACGGTGTTTATTAGCTAGCTTCTAAATCGAAAGTCACCAGCTAGATTGAGCCTACTAGATAAACGGCCCGGCTGGTTGAACCCAATAGTCTAGACGATCCAATTAGTGACTCACTCTTTGAAAATTCACAACTGCGACTTCCTCCATAAAGTTAAAAGGGCAGACTATCAGGTGCGTTCGTTTCGAGGGCCCAGAGTCTCTGAGCCTTCCTCAACATCTCGTAGTGAGTTGTCAACGGGGTTACCATCCCGCTCCTCCGGATCTAGCTTGACGGCGGCGTCGAGAGGAGAATACTTGCTCCGAGCCCTGATCGCCTTGCCGTACCTATGAAAAACAAACGGAACTACAGCCAGGATGCTCGCAGCACCTCCTATCAGTGACCCGCCGCCGCCAACACCCAGCGTTTGAAACATCTTAGGCGTGAAAAGGGGGGCAAAAGCACTGCCAAGGGATCTCGCAAACGTATTCACAGCTATCGCTGAGGCAGCGCAGTCAACATACGAGTCGACAAGGTAGTTCATATAGGAGGTGAATGTAAGGATGAGAGCTGTAGAAAGAAACCCTCCAGCAATTGTAGGGACAGACCAGTGTATCGAGCTACAAACGTCACATTAGCCATTTACTATGCGAAGATATCGCGATGGCAACATACTTGTACTGTGCCGTCCATGAGAACCAAAACATGGTAATAGCAAAGCCGATCCCTCCCATCATTCCCATAATCAGACGGTCCTCCGGCTCGAGGCTATACCCAGCCTCAAGTTTGTTTTTCCGCCTTTTGGTGTCTAAAAAAATGACGACAGCCCCGACGACCGACCCTACAACTGTACCAAGCAAGGGAAGCTGCCCAACTCCCTCGTTCCAGCCACGCATCTGCTGAAAGACGATGGGATAAATGGTAAAGAGCATGAACTGAAGCGCAAATATAAGTGCCATGTACACAGCGCACAAGAATGAAATGGGATCTAATAGAAGCGCCCACGGTCGTGTCAGTGCCGTCTTATAAATAGTGAATAGTGACATATTAGCCGCCTCGTATTCCGTCTGGACGTGTTCATATCCCCGAATCCCCGCCTTCCTGATCCTCCTCGCCCGCTCCAGAAGAATAATCGCCCCATTGGTCTCTGGGATAGTGAGCATGAACAGCATCGACACGCCAGAAAGACACAAGACAACATAGAAGCCCCAGCGCCAGTTCTTGTGGAGCACCAGGAAGCCAGAAATAATCGGCCCCAGCGACGGTCCGATCCAGACAGACGTCGAGAATATAGCCATGGCATTACCCCTTGCCAAGTTGTCCCATAGGTCGGCAAGAACGCCTGGTGCGTTGCTGAGAACCGCAGACACGCAGGCCCCTGCCAAAAACCTTGCCGTCAAAAGCGTCCCAAAATTGGTCGCAAAAGCACAAAGAAGGCTAAAAAGGACAAAGAAGGAAAAGGAGATGCGGAAGATGGGCCTGCGGCCGTAAAACTCTGAGAGTGGTGCAAATATGAATGGACCTAGGCAGTAGCCGAGCAGAAAGAGAGTTACGGTGAGAGCTGCTACCCCCTCAGAGATGTGGAAGTCTCGAGAGATATGTTTGAGAGACCCGGACGGTATAGAGGAGGCCAGATTCCCGACCATGGCGAGGAGCGAGGTGCAGAGGGTGATGTACCATTTCCGGCTCTTGGACCAGTTTCGTGGATCGCCAGGATCGCCGGGGCCAAAGTCGACAAAGCCGTCGCTGTTGGTATGCGGTACCGGTAAAGTGTTGTGAGAGTCTGTAGATTGTACGGATTGACGAACGGCCTCCATGGTGGGCAGCTATTATCAGAATCTGTGCCTAGATGGTCGTCTTTGGCGCCGCATCACAAGACGGGAGCTTGTAAGAGCAGAGAAACTGGGCTCATATACCCAAACACCGCTATTGCCCTATTGTCCACGCGTCCAGGGGTAGAAGTCTCATAACTTGAAAACTTCGTGCTCTCAGTGTCGGAAGATATTCTTTCCAACGCCGTCAGTTGTTCTGCGGAAAGGTTGAGGTAGGCGCAGTGCACAGTCGCTCGAGACGTGGCCGGAGAATGTCTTTGGCCTCAAAGGCATAAATAACATATGGCAGTGAGGGCTACCGTGGCAGTTGATGTGGAGAGAATGGAGTACACAAATTAGACTTTGAAGGCTCTATTGCTAGTCTCAGCATGCTGAACGGCCTCGTCCTGATTTCGGTGCTGCCGCACTGCGGTCTATTGCTGCTGCCTGAGTTTGTGAGGTACGTGGCGTGATTAGAGTTGGGATCTCGCTCATGGGCGGTATTGGAACGCTTTTTCTATATCGTACGTACTAGTAGCTTGTGAGTAGCCAAAGAAACCTAAAGTTCTATGGCAACGGGACCCTTTCAAGATCTAGTCGCCCACACAAGGCCGTGGCTAGGATTGCACCAAGGCCTGGTGAGTAGTAGTGTTATAATACATGTAGTTTTGTATAATTCTATTCCTTTATAAAGAAACTGAACGCCGCTTTATCCAAAATATCCTAGGAAATTAGGCTATGTGATAAGCACCATCTCTATTAACCATTAGACAGAACGACTCGAATCATAGTATCTCACATGACTACATCGTCTTGTTTTTGTAGAGAGAGCTTCCTCGCCGGAATTCTTTGATTAAACTCTAATTGACATCTCCTCAAAGCTCGGAATTGGTTCTCCGCATCTGAAAGCTAGGTCTTAAATCTCGGTACGTACTCCCGAGACATGGTGGTGAAGGCCGTTCTGTCACCTTTTCCGATGTACTCCATCTAACGGCAGACTTGTGGGAGTTGCCGGCGCTACCGGAGTGTATCTTGATTGACGTAATAATGGGGAGCTAACCCCCCTCGCTACTGAGTCAGAAAAAAAGGGAAAAAAGCTCTGAGTTCAAGCCATGCAACCCTAATGGGCATGCCATTCCCCAAGTACCAACGATGCCGATGCTGCTCCCTCCTCGCATC